AACGCCCGAGCTGTTGGCTCATTTCTCGGATTGGAGATCCGAGATTGAAGATCTGACACCGAGCGCATCATGATTTGTGAGCGGCTTAAATAGTGCGAACGGAAATCATGATTAGCCGGGCCATTAAAGCCAGCGTTTCCCTCGACAATTTCGAGCTTCTCTGGGACACAGAGAAAAATGGTAGGAAATTACCCTCGATTGGGGGGGTTACTCAGCAGTCAAAACAGATCGTATACTTGTCCTAAATAAGTTTATATTAATATGTTTATCCAGATTTCTCTTTTAGTTTCCAAAAACCATACAATATTTAATATATTATATTAATTAAAACAAAGAGAAAGTGAACAATATTATTAAAGGATTAACTGATTGACTCATTAAATAGAAAATATCTTTAAATGAAAGTTTCAAGATTATTTCCTTAGATTTTTCTTAAGAAAAAATCATCTCTAACCTTGTGTTTCCTTTAAAACCTTCAACTCTTTTTCTAAGGCTCCTAATGACTTAACAAAATAAATCCCCGATGAAGATCTCTGGACCTCGTGATCTCTGATCCTATTTTTTTGCTGTGCAAGCTTTAAGCCAACCTGACCCCCGGCCATCTGCCGGCTGAGGCTCCTTTTCGGGCCGCAAAAAAAAACGCCTTCGGGGCTGGGCCCTGATGTTTTCATTTCCCGATAAAGGAGGTCCGTAAATGGCACGGACCTTACTCAACTCAACCCAACTCAAGTCAAGTAAAGCCAAGCTGAGTTGAGCGCACGCCAACATGGAGATGGCAAGAGAGATGGAAACGCAGATGGAGTTGCACTCGCAGCACGTTGCAGTTGTAGCAAATTAAAAAAATGCAAATGTTGCACGTTGTACTCGCAGACAAACCAGCAACTGCAAAACCAGCAACAGCAACAGCAGCAACAGCAACAGCAGCAAACCAGCAACATCAAGCGCAGCAAAGCAGCAACTGCTTGCCAACTTTATAGACTGACTCCTGCCTGGAAGCCCGCAATCGTGTTCATGTGTCACCAATATGATGTTGTCCAACTCCCAGTCCAAGTCCAAGTCCAAGTCCAGCTTCAGGTCCCAGACCCAAGACCAAGAAAAATACGAAGACGATCGGTACGGAGCGATAATAGAGAGAGAGGAGTCGTGTGGATCAAGGGGGAGGAGCACTGGACAGGGGGATTGGTAAGAGGGATTGGGAAGGAGGATTGGGACGAGGGACAAGCAACTGCCATGTCAGGCTGCCCGGCACAGATGGCATCATCAGCATCGTCAGTAGCCATCGATCCCTGGCCTTCGGTTCGCCCCTCCCTCTATATAATATATACAAATATATATAGGAGACAACTCTGCATGATCAGACAATTGTTGGGACAATTTAAAGACAGAAGAATAGCGACATATGTGTGATTAAACACGATTTCATAAATTAAATATAATATGAGATCACATGAGCAAGCTGAAGTGGCTAAAAATATGTGAAAATACTTGAAAAAGCTAGTTTGAATTACATTTTTTCCTACTTCAATAATGATTGTAGGAATATTAGATTAATATTATGAAGCAAGATAAGAAGATGGTGTTAAAAATAATATTTTTAACAAGAAATGGAATAAATTTTTATCGGTATTATTACCATAATTTATAATTTGTAAAGAAGCAGTGGTAATGTTAAAAATTCCCGTTTCTTATGGGTTCATTAATTTTCCAGAGTCCATTTTTAAACCTGTGCCCCTATTCAGCTGTCATTAGTTGGAAGCGCAGCATAAATATGCATGGGGTACGGGTTCGGGTATCTTGAGTACTTATTTTCGTATGCCTTCCTGGGCTGCACATTTTGGTATAGCAATTTGTGTCTTAATTAATGTCCCAATCAAGAGGCCGCCAAAATCAGAAATGAGACCCACGACTGGCCGCAAGCTCCAAAATCTCCATTTTGGGCAACGAACCCACAACCGCGACTGCTTTCATATGTATTTATGCATATGTATATGGGATATATGTTAGGTATATCTGGAATGGAATGGACTGAAGCGAAGTCGAATGGAATGGGAGGATGCGGCGGCGGCAAACTCGTTTCGGTGCAGGGCACTAAATTAGTTGGTTGCCCCCACTCCGCGGCTGCAGTTCCACAAACTCTTTTCAATACAATTTTGTTCGGTTCGTTCTTAATTTCGATGGAGTCAATTTTATTGCCCTGAGCAGCGGACTAAGAGGGGGTTACGAGGCTGGGGTTCGGGCCAGGTAGCCCCGCTAAGTGGTCGCCATTGCAGTGGAGATGGTCTTAAAGAAGCCTCGACACATGGAGAAATTATTGGAAAATAACTAAGCATGCATACAACATTATATACCTACAATTTAAAAACATTTCTATAATTCCAAGTTCTAAAGCATTATAAAACAAACAAACAATAACAAATGTTTTAATACTTTTTAAAATACATAAAAAATCTTTTACAATTTTCTCCAAATTTTTATAAAGCTTCTATTGTTAAGGTACCTCTCAATTCCTCTCAGTGTAAACTTGCATTCTGTCGTCTTCGGCTGGAGCTCAGTTAATTTGGTCATCTTCCATGATGTTTTGATAATGTGGCTGGAGCTGCGGACCCAATCTCCAGTCGTGGTCCTCCGCTGCAGTTGTCCCTTTCCACTTTTGGGTTCGGTTTTTTTTTTTTTTTTTGGTTCGCTGCTGGGCTGCGCACGAAATTCTTGTCGCCGCGAATAATTACATAAATCAGCGATTTTTAAAGCGTTTCGAGTTTCCAACTATCAATACCGGCGAACGGAAATCGAGGCTGGAAAAAAGGTAGGAAGATCTTTTGTCAAGCTTTTCGAGCGCTGATTGCCGGGGATTAAAAGCAGCTAAAATATTAACACCTCAGGTTACCAAGCGGTTCCCACAACAAAATTTAATGTTTATGCTCCCGAAAGATTTCCGAGAAACTCAACTTCGCACCTAGGCATAAAAAGGCGATCCTTAAATGCTTGCCAATCTGTCAGCAATTCAAAATTTAGCACAAGTAACAAAAGAAATGATTTATGCTGTTGCTTGATTGATTTTAAGACCTGAATTGGTTGGGGCGAAATATAAAAAGAACCGCTCGTAAAAGACCGCCTTTGAGAGATCTCCGACGATCCGACAGTTGCGGTGAGTTTTTGATGCGCTTTCAAAATGCAGATTGTTCCGTTTTCTGCCCGTTTAATTTGTATGATTATGGCCTGTCACAAGCCAACGAAGCATGGCCCGAACCAAAACGGTAAATGCAAGCCAACAAGCCAATGGCCAGGCTCAAAAGCTTGTGGTTTGCATGGCCTAAAGATGAGGATTGGTCAGATCGGATCAGCTCAGCTCAGCTCAGTCAGCTGTCGATGGAGCGTGTCAGATAATCGGCTTTTGCACATCGAAAAGCTGTACGGTGTTGTAAAGTGGTATTTAAAGCATGTACAGTTGGCTAAAAAACAAGTATTACTGTACGGTATTGTAAAGTGGCATTTAAAGCATGTACAGTTGGCTAAAAAAAAACTATGTATTTATTACTGCTTTTTGGAATATAAAAGCGAATTTAAATATCTTCAAACTTTCCCATTAAAACAATCGCTTGCTTGTAAGTTTTATATGATTTACTTATATTTTCCTTGTGCACAAATGTCGAAAATGCCCCACCAAAATGTATGAATTGTTTTTGTTTTTTTTTTTTTGTAATTTTTTCAGTATTGTTTTGTTTTTAGCATATGCGGTTATAGCTGGCGGCTATCCCCTCACAATCATAATATGGATGCTTGGTTATCGAGTATATCCATCGCTTAATATTTGTTAATGAGTAAGTTACGTTTCACATATGCATAGGTTGGGTACATATAATTTTAAAATATATATATATATTTCTATATGTGTATATATATCTGTTGTATCACCACGAACACACATAAATACAAATCAAGATTCCATTATGTATGCAGTTATTGTTATGGCGGGGAGCTTCCAGAATCGTTCGTCCCCCATGGATTTTTTCAATTTCGGATAATCGCAAACTGCTGCTGCTGTTTGCCGATCAATTATTGCATAGTGAAGTGACACAACTGTATGAATGCCAATAACATGCTCATACCGATCGGTAATGCGGATCGATAATGCGGGGAAGGGTATCGGACTTGGAGCTTATGCCTTAATGCGTATCTATATCTTATATACAATGTACATGCAAGGGTTCATTGGGGCTTTCGCTTCCTATTTACACAAGCAACTCATTGCGAATGCATCTCTTTCTCATCATCCATCTCTCACTCGATAAACACGGATCCAAATCATATACTATACTGATCTTGAGCTCTTTACAAACTATAATGGCTGTGCTAAAAAATACATGCTCTCTCGCTCAAATAATTCTGTGCTCGGCTGGCTGTTATCTGTTATCAGTTATCAGTTATCGGTTATCAGTTATCTGTTATCTGTGAGTTTGTAGGTAGGTAGTTACTGGTCTGTTCTGGTGTTTTAAATTATTATCGTCTTGTTGCAACAAACTATTGACTGACTGGCCGCCATCGCCTCCTCTAAATCTCTATATGCTTCAATTTCATTCAATTATTGTGCTGCACTGCAAATGAGTTTCGATTTATTCAAAAATGTAGTTCGTGTAAATATCATTGCTTTGCTAATTGTTATTCTGTGTATATAGTAATGTAACATTTTTGTTTTGTAATTTTCCCCCCTCAAACAATTTCACCTTCTATATATATAGGCTAATCTGTATTGCTTGCATCGCGGCTTGAGTTTCGTATGCGAGTACTTTCCTATATACAGCTAAAATTTCAGATGCTTCAGATGCGTCGCACGCCGGATCCTATAATGCCTCTAATACTGTCCTGGAGTTGCGCTTAGATCCCGCTAGGATATGTCCACCTTCTCCTCAATCCACTTTCTCCGCTTTCTTCCTCAGCTTTCTTCTGTTTTTTACTTCTGTTTCGATTAGTTAGTTTAAATTTATTTTCAATTTCGATTTCGATTTGATTTGATTTTGAGTTGTATTTGCGATTTGCCAAAAGTTACGATTCAAAAAGTACCAACTACAGTGTGGAAAATTTACACAGAATAAATAATTTAATACATTTAATTTTAATTTTAATTTGCTTTCATTTACATTTACAAATCATCCTCGCACCGCACCGCCTTTTTGAGTATAATGGTTCGCGTTTTGCCTGGGCAATCGTTAGCTCTAGTTAATATATATAGTACGTTTAAATACAGATGTCGGAGTTGCTATAAGTACAAAATACACTTTAAAACTTAAATGAGCGCTTCGTTGGTGCTTTATAAAATAATCGTTAAAATTAGAGATTACAATTAAAAGTGTAGAAAACAAAGCGACGCGGCTTTGTGCACAAAATACTGTTCAAACGATGGATCGATCGATCGAATCGAATCGGATCGGATCGGTTCGGAAATTGGTAGACAGTTTTTGTACGTGTTCATTTGTCATTTGTGAGCGTTCATCCTGTCCGGGTGCCCACTGTAGATGGCTGCTTATGCGATACGGTCTCTAATTGCTAGTTTATGTCGGCTAATAGTTATTGTTTATACTGCTGCTGCTTCTGTTGCCGCCCTCGGATGCTTAAAAAACTAAATACAATTGTTTCGCATGCATACTTCTGGTTGGTTGTTCGCCTTGGCTGCTGAATTAACTTAATCAAAGCTACCTCTTTCAAAGGTCTTGACCGACGTAGGACGTTGAATACTCTCGCGTGTGTGAGTGGGTGTGTGTTTGTTTATATATCTACCATATATAAATATATATTAAGGTGTGTATGCTGCGCTTCTGACTACAACTAACCGTCTTTAACCCCCCTAATTTATGTACAATCTCGCTTAAACTAATCTCTAATCTCTTGACCAAAATTGTGCTGCTTCAGTTAATGCTGTGGTCGTCTCCACGGCAGCCTCCTCCTCCTGCGAAGTGGCGATCAGGGTGACTATCTCAATGGGTTGGGTGGTTGTGGTGCCAGCAGCGGTGGTGCTGCTGCTGTTGCCAGTGGCCATTGGAATCTGCTGCGGAATCGTGGTGCAGGATCAGGAGTGCTTGTCGGTCAGCTCGCCCCAACGAGACTCGAAGAACTTGCGCATTCCATGCCCTGCTTTTCCAACGGGCGAATCGTCCTCGTTGAACATCTCACAGTTGTCGAAGATCTGGCGCACATCCACGCAAAAGTCCTCACGGGTTTTGTAGCTATTAGAAATAATTAAAGATTTGTTAATGTTTTCATTCCTTTCATTAGAGCTTAGCTGCTTTGCTCACCTCAAATCCAGCAGTTTCTTTTTGATTGTGGACATGTCCATGGGAGTTTTGATTATTTTGCGATATGTGGGAAACTGCTTGGTGTTCACTGGCAACAGAAATGGCCAGGAGTCTTCATGGAGCTAGAGGAACCAAATGAAGCAATCAATATAAGTATTTTATTATAAAGTATTATATGAATGCCCACCTCCATTTCCCCTAGTAATGTTTTGCAGACGGCCAGCTCCTTCATGAGCTTCTTGGTGGCGTGCTTCTCCTTCTTCTCCTGCTTCAGCTTCTCCTTGGCCTCCTGAATGGCGTGTATGTTGATGGGTGGCGGCGACATTTGGTTGCTACCCGTTCCCGTTCCCGTTCCCACTCCAATGGCTGGTGGCGAGGGCATGGTCATCAGCTGATGCTGCTGATGCTGTTGGGGTGGCGACTGGCAGGCGGTTACGTGGAGGGCGGCGGCTGTGGGCGAGGCCTGCATGAGCAGCGGTGTCGGCGGCGGTGGTGGTGGCGGTGTGGGCGCCGGCGTCGGTGTGGGCGTTCGGGTACGAGTGGGCGTGACGGCCCGTGGCGACATGGCAACCGCATTGCCGGCAAACTGCATGGCTGGCGGCACTGCTGTTGGGTTAATCAATCCGGCCGAGAAGTTACCGCCAGCTGGCGGATAAACTGGATAGCCGCTGGGCATCACACCGATTGGAAGAGGCACCACCTCATCCAGCAGCGCCGTCGCAGTGCCGTTATTATTGGGCGGGGGGATGTGATGCGCTTGGAAGCGGCTGTTGCTGCCATCGATCGAGTTGTTCGCAAGATGCTGCTGCTGTTGGTCCTCGTAGTTCGTGGTGGTGGCGGTGGCCACCGAGGCGGCCAACGAGTGCGCCGGACTGCAGAGAGCAGAGGCATTATAAACTGGAACCCGGACCGTGGACTCCGCCGCCCCCCTCAGCCGCCCGCAGGCCCCCACACTCACCTCAGTGGCGCCGCCGGCAGCGAATTCATCGACTCATCGTGCGAGGAGTTCAGCGACGGCGGCTGCTGCTGATGATGATGATGGTGGTGCTGGTGCAGTTGGTGGGCATCCCCGCCTGCCAGTGGCATCTGCTGCTGCTGCTGTTGCTGCTGCTGCTGTTGCTGCTGCTGCTGTTGCTGCTGTTGCATGTGATCCATGGCCTGTGGCGTCTTGCTGTTGTCACTGCGTCGCTTGGCAGATCCTCCCGAATCTCGATCCCTGTCCCTTCGCGATTTGCTGCTGCTGCTGGTGGAGCCACCGGCACTCCGTTTCTTGGGCGGCGGAGCACGGGAGATGCAGCCGTGGCAGTACCACTTGCCACGCGGCACCTTCAGCAGCGGTGGAATGTAGCAGTCGGCGTGGTAGGCACGCGGACACAAGTCGCAGTAGATCATCTTGCCCACTGGCGATGGTCGATGGCCACCGCAAACGATGCACTTGCGTTCATTCGTCGCCTTGTTCACGCACTCGTAGCAATACCTAAAAAATAAGATAAAATATATATTAAAATTATTAAATATTTGTTAAAATTAATTTCAAGTTTTTGTTGGGGAAACAGAGAGAGTAAGAGTGCCACAGTTTCTCAACGGTTAACGATCAACGCTCAACAAGACAACGCGGATTAATGTGACATGTGAGGAATGAGGATGTTTTTAGAGAGATATATAGAGGAGTGGTATCGCTACAGATAGCTACTCACCAATCGCCATCGGGAATGTTGTCCATCTTGGGCTTGAAGCAGTAGGTGTGATAGCCCTTGTCGCATCCATCGCACAGTAGCAACTTGTCCTCGTTTTCGCCGGACGTGCAGAACTGGCAATTCTGTAAGGAATTTGAATATTTGCTAGAGTTTGTATTGTTCGCCGAGCGTCTGCGTTTTGCGCTCTTCTTCGTCGTCCGTTTGCCAAAGTCCGTGTCGGAGTCGCTAGTGTTTGAGGATGGGGATGGGGATGGAGATGGAGGTGGTGGTGATGGGGATTTCGTTTTTATGGGGCTCTTCGATTGGTTTTTATGCTGCTGCTGCTGCTGCGTAGCGTGTCCATTTTGAGCGAGAGCCTTCAGGTTGATTTTGATGCTCAGGGGAGCTTTTTGCTCTTGCTGTTTGGTTGGCGTCTCCTGCTTCTTCTTCTTCCCATTGGGGGTCAATTGCTGCTCCTTTTTCTTCTTTTGCTGCTTTTTCACGGACGTTGCCTGCTTTTTGGCGCTGCTCTTCTTCTTGCTGGACTTGTTTTTTGTTGCATACTTTTCGGATGGCGGTTCGAAACGGTTCGTTTTGAGGGGTGGGTATTATAAGCGGTCGTGGTGGATTTGGTGGGTTTGGTTGTCGTAAGGGGTTCAACGGTTATCGGTAAACGGTAACGGGCAACAAAAGCATTCATGTGTATGTGTGTGTACGTGAGGCATGTGGGTGTTGATTTTGTATGTGTGTGTGTATGTGAGTATGAAAGCGTTAAATTTGTTGTAATTTTTTTTTTTAGCAAGAACACCATGAAACACCACAAGCAACAAACAAACAAGTCAAACATTCAGCCAGAGACAGTTAAGAAAGAAAAAATAAGACCGGAAGAAGAAATAAACAAAATTCAAATTAATTTCACAGGCAATTTTCAGATTCTTAGGGAGAGATGCAGAAAAGGGATACTAAAAACTATTTAAATACAATGGTAAAACAAAAAACAGTTATATCACAATTTCTAGTTAAAATTTATAATCCTTAAAAATTTGTAAAACTATTTATCTACTATCTTGAAGGCATTATATTTTGATTTTGTAAGATGCTAAAAAAAGAGCTGTGTCTTAAAAATACTACTAAAAGTGCACTTAACAATTATCCGAAATGAAAAAGAAATATTTTTATATCTAAAATCTCATCTCTTTTCCTTTTTTTAACTTCTTCGTTTTAGTAACGGTAAATACGTTTAGTGTGTTAAATTCGAAATGTTTTTGCCATGCGTGTGTGTACAAAAATGTGAGGGTGTGAATGGTGAATGTTAGTGTGTGAGTACAGTAAAAACAACAATGAGATGGACCACAAAAAAATAGGACGGGTGCCAAGCAGGTTAATTGGTTGGTTTCTCTTTGGGATTCTCAAGGGGTTATCCTTCAAATCTCCTCCTGATCTTACCGCTTTCATAATGCTCTTGTCCCAGGCCACGCAGGATTCCAGGACGTACAAGGCCATCGCCAGCTGGGCGGTGGTATGGGATCGAGCCACTGCATCGCGCCACTGGACCAGACCCTTGGGAATGTGTTCCACCTTCTCGTCTCGATCGCTATCGCAATTGCTGGCCGGCGATGCATTGCCGGAGGTGGGTTCCCCACTTCCAGATTCACAGGGAGTGGCTCCTCCCGCGGCTGCCGGGTTGGCTCCTCCAGGTGCTGCTCCTCCGGTTCCCGAGGCAGCTGCCGCCGCCGCCAGAGCCATCGTTCTCTCGTTGAAGGAGGAGGGATTCAGGCTGTTGCCCGTTCCCGATCCCTGTTGTTGCTGCTGCTGTTGCTGTTGCTGCTGCTGTTGCGCCAACTGCTGTTGCTGCTGCTGCTGTTGCATCTGCAGGAGATACGCTGCCGCCGATGCGGAATTCTGCGTCTGGGTGGTGGTGTGCTGGTTCTGGGCAATCACCGCCAAGTGGGCATCGCCCGTCTGCGAACCCAACGGCGGCTTCAAGTAGCGCCTCTCGATGTTGGCCTCCAAGTCGATGATCCTCTCCCGGATCATGGGTATTATGCTCACGAAATCCTCCTCGGTGACATCCTCCTGCGAATCCAAGGTGAGTTCACTCTCCACGCGGTTGGGCAGCTGCCAGTTCTTAAGCTGCATGGAGGCACTGGCCACCTTGTCCTCCAGCGATTCCAGCTGCTCGATGAGGGCCAGCTCCACCCGCTTGGCCACCTTCGGGTTCCAGTCGCCCTTCTTGTCCGGCATAAGGAACTCCTCTGGGAACTCCACATCGGATTTGAGCTGATAGTTCACACCCAAATTCTGTTCCAGGCCAAGGAATCGCTGGAGGTTCTCCTGCAGTTCGCGCTCTCTCAAACCCGAAGGATTGAGGGTCTTCAGCAGCTGGCGAAGCTTCTGCTCGTCGTCCAGTTGCCACCAACCGTAACGCTGCCTGCGCGGCACATAGACGCCATGAACGCGATCCGGGAAGCCGGCCAGCTTCACCTGCTCCAGCAGACGATGCTCATCGGGGGTCATGGAGAGCGGCAGCGGTATGTCGATGGGTATGTAGGTCTGCACGCTGCTCAGCGACATGTTGGCTATGTTGTGGTAGTACGCCTGCGACAGAGCCTCATCCAAGCGGAGCTCCATCTTGGGCTTCACATCGTTGCTTTCATTTGTCCCACCTCCCGTGTCCGGGGAGCATCAGAGCGCAAGCGAAAAAACTTCTCCTTGGCGGCGGCGGCAGCCAGCTCATCCGCATCCGTTTCCATTCCACCGGCGGCGGCGACTGCATCGATATCCTTATCCAACAACTTCAGCTTGGCCCGCTCCTCATCATCTTCAGTCTCGTGGTGGCGATGAGGAGAGCCCAGACCGTTTTTTGACTCCACCTTGTGGGCCTTGAACTCCTCCACCTTGGCCACAATTTGCTTTTCATCGAGGCCGCTCAGCGAGAAGATGCATTCGTTGGCCAGCTTGCTGGTGTCCACCTTGCACTCGTCCATCGGTATGGAGTAGTACTGCATGTTGTTGATCAGATCCCAGGGATGTCCCTGCAACTGCAGCTGGGCGGAGCAGTTCTGGTTGGCGAAGCTGTTCTGCAGCTCCTGACCCACAACGCCACCCTCCTCCGCTGGAAGTTCACTGATTAGAGGCACCTCGCGACGGACAATGGAGAACCACTTGGGTGTTTCGTCGGCACTCGTGGTGGACACGATGATGCAGTCGTCCTCCTTCTTCAGATCCTCCATCTTGATCACTGCCTGGCCAAAGTTCTGCTGCTGGTTCAAACCGGCGGCTTCCAACTTATCACAGTTGTCGCTTCCATTGTTGTTGTTGTTATTGTTGTTATTGTTGTTATTGCTGTTGTTGTTGTTGTTGAGATTTGGAGGCATCAGAATGCCGGGCATGGCGGGAATCTTGATCTCCGCCTCGAAGTCCGTCTTGGTGGCAATCATCGTCGTCGGCGGCGGGCCCATCAACTCCATCTCGGACTTAACCTTGATCTCTGGCCTGGGAGGTTCCACCTTGGGCAGTGGCAGAGCTGCATCATCATCATCATCACCGAGGTCAACGATCTCCGGTTCCACCTTGTTGATTTCCGTAACATCATCATCGTCGTCCTCCTCCTCTTGATGGGCATTCTGATTCTGATTATTCTCGGTTGTTTCTGCATTCTGGGCAGGAACTCCCTCCTCCTGATTAGGAGATTCATCCACCTCCATTGGTTGTTCAGTGGTTTCCCCTTCAGTTTTCTCCTTCTCCGAGTTCTCCTTCTCGCCAGGAGCTTCCTTCTTGTCATCCATGCCCTCCAGTGCCTCATGATAACCGCAAATATCGTTTTGTGCCGATTCGAGTGCCTCAATGAAGATTCCTCCCGCCTTGGGCAACTTCCAGTAGCGACGCCAGAAGCGATCCTGGCCAAAGCAGGCGGCTCTCAGCTGATTGGTGCTCTTCTCCAGCGCCTCCTTGCAGTTGAGCGAAGCGCGCACAATCTTGTCCAGCTTCTTCTGCAGTTCGTCGGCACTCAAGCGATTGTCCTCGTCCTCTTCCACGTTCGTAATCTCCGAATCCAAATCGGATAGATCATCATCAATGATGCTAACGTCATGGTGATGGTGTTCATCGTTCATGGAGTTGCGTGCTCCGCTCTTCTTGGCCTGCAGCAGGGCATTCATGTCGCCTCCAGTGGCTCCACTGGTTGTCGGTGTGCTGGATCCATTTATCTGATAGGTGGGCGTGGCCATCTCCTGTTTGCTGGGCGTCAGATTGTTTTCCGCTGGAATAATGCTCTTCGCTGGGCTAACAAGGGATTCCTCATCGACTACACCATCCACCTCCATGGGCTGCTGCTGCTGGGGATCCTTTGTGGCCGCCTGCTCGTCCTGTTCCTCCTCCTCCGGCTTCTCGCCATTCGGTGAGCCACCTTTGGCGGTCTCTCCATCGGTTCCGGCAGCAGCTGCTGCTTCCTCCGCTGCCGCCGCCTTGGCCTCCTCCTCCGCCTTCAACCTCTCGGCATCCAGCTTCTGCTGGGCCATCAGTGCCTGCATCGCCGCCTCCCGCTCCGCTTGAGCTCGTTCGTAGGCCTCAATCCGAGCCTTGCGCATGTGGAGCGCCTTGTATTTGCGCACCTTCATGTCCGTCATGTACTTCTCCTTGCGCATCTGGGCGCAGGTCTCGAGGCTGCCATCGATCTGGCGCAGCACGGCCTTGTTCATCAGCAGATCGTTGCAGAGGTGGGCCAGCATCTGGGCTTTCCTGGTGGGATTCAGCGCCACGAAGGGACGATCCTTCAGCGATTGCGACAACTTCCAAGTGTCGTTCTCATGCAGTAACTTATAGTACTCCTGATTCTTTACCGAATGCGATACAGCGGAATCGGCGTCCAGCTGGTGATGATCGGGAACTCTCCTCTCCCTTTCGCGATCCACAGTGATGCCGTGCATTTGACGCACTTCCCCTGTTGCAGTGGCATACAGATAAATCCTCAGGATCTCCGACACATTCGAATTTGTGATATCCGCATTGCGAAGCGATTGTCCCAGCAAAGTGGTGTGGCGACCGGGATTAGGAACTCCCGGATCCTCGATGGCACAGACCAGCAGATGGGTCATCACCGACAGCAGCTCCTCCTCGGCATCCACGCTGCTGTCGCTGATTAGGGCATCATGCAGATTCTGCAGCGATGGAAGTGACTCCATATCGAAGCCCAGAGTTTCCCCAAAGTTGTGCAGGAACTCGAAGACCATCAGCAGATCGGCCATCGCTTGGCCGGGCAGACGGTTGCCCGCAATCCTCTCCAGCTCTGGGATGACCAGCTCTTGCGGCAGTTCCGAGTCTTCGTTGGGCCGTCGAATGATTTGCAGAATCTCGGCATCGCGCTTTCGCTCCGCCATGCGACGCTCGCGAAGAAGCAGGCGATCCAGCACCAACTGGTGCTTCTTCTTCTCACGATCCTCGAACTTGCGACGCAGCTCCAGCATGCGGATGAGACTCATGTGCTGGCGACGACGCTCCCGTTCCTTTTTTGGGGAATACATAATAAGGTGAAATAATATTAGCAAACATCAGATGATTTTTAATAAGAATTCTTACCATTTCGGCAGCCAACAGCATCTCTTTCTGCTTTTGTAGTTCCTAATATAAAATTATAGAGCAAAAATGTTTATGTTAAAAAAAATTAAGAGGAATAAATAGTAATGTAAGCGATTTGAGGCTTTAATAAATAAAATATAGCAGAGCAGCAACAAAGCAAACTTAAATCCCTCAAACTTAATCAAAAATCTCTTTAAGAATTTAAAATTTAAATACAAATCAAGCAATAGATTTTATATAATAATGTATAGATATTTTTCTTTAAATATTTTTGAATAAATAAAAAACTCGGAAAATCCCTTAAACCCCAATTTAAAACGGATTTAAAGCGGATAAAGTTATAGGAAAGGACAGAAGGTAAGGTAATATGTACCTGTTCCTTAGCTAAAATGGCCTCCTGACGACGCTTTTCTTTCTCCTATTGCAAAATAAAAACCAAATTATACACAGATTCTAGGCAGGCATATATAAACTAGACTGACCTGTTGCTTCTTGAGCAGTTCCTCCTGCTTTAGGCGATCCAACTCCTCCTGACGCTTCTTGCGCTCCTGAAAATATATTTTGTACTTGAGTATATAACATCTAACATTTAAAACTATTTTAAGTTACCTCGATGGCCTGCTGGTTTTTGAGCTCCTTGTCCTTGCGCTGCTGCTCCAGCTTGGAGTTCTTCTCCTGGCGCGCCTTCTCCTTATTCCTGGCCAATTCCTCCTTTTGCAACTTCTTGGCATCGCGCATCGCCTGCTGCTGCTTGGCAATCTCGATGCGCTGCTCCACATTGAGTGTCTGGCGAGTGAAGACCTTGAGATCCTCAAGTCGCTTGGCCACATCCTCGTCCGTCATCCGTATGTACTCCCCGTCATTGGCATACGGTGGTGGTGCAGGTTGCAGGAACGAACCAACAATGGCTCGAGCCGAGAAACTAAAGTTCTCACGACTCAGATTCGATGGCTGCTGCTCCAGAATCTGTGGAAAGTTCAATAGATTAGCTGGGTATTAACTAGTTTATGTTAAGTGTGATCACAGTTGCCAATTTGCAAATTTTTGTCCTTAAAGGTTACTTGAAATTATAAAGACATTTATAGAGGATATTAAATAAGATATAAAACTCCAATTATTATGGTTTGTTTAAAGGTTTTAAGTTATTGTTAAGTGTTCCATTTGTGTCTTTAAAATATTCAAAAAAGTCGCCCTACAAACTCACAGCAAAAACCTGTCCGTTGCTCTTCAGAGGAGTCGTGCTGCCAGGAGCGTAATAGGTGACCTCGCCACGGATCTGACCCTGTTTGGTCAGGCCACGGATCACCGTCTCCCGCTTCCAGCCCAATTCCAGTGGCACCCGTAGCTCAGCCACGTTCAAGATATTAGCATCCTCACTCTCCGATTCAGATAATCCACTTTCGGCAGCCACACTTTCGGAATCCGTCGAGGTTTCCATATGGGCATTGGCTTCGCTTAGCGCCAAACGGATTTTCTCCTGTAAGAGAAGGATTATAATTAAAACAAAATCCAATATGTTTTCCTCGATAAACTTACAATATCAGCACCCTGTTGAAGCAGTTGTTGGGTGGCCAACATGGGCTTTAATCCCACAGCTCGGGATTGAGCCAACAGCGAAGCCACCGTGTTCTTCTTGGGCTTGGATACACCGCGTCCCAGATTACGAGGTCTGCCCTCCTTGTAAGAGGAAGATCCTCCTCCTCCTCCGCCGGAACCAGATCCCGAATTCGAAGCTGTTCCAGAGCCAGCTCCTGCTGGAGCCGGAGAGGTTCCCCCGCTGCCCGAAATGGAACCACCTGGCATTCCTCCAGTTCCGCCCAACGCAGCCGTGATGGAACTCAAGCTCTGCAGGCTGTTTCCGCTCTGGCCAGTGGCCACCGCCTGATAATCACCAGCTAGATTGCCCAGCGCTGCTGAGGAAGAGGAGGAAGCTCCTCCTGCCGCATTTGCCGAGCCAGTGTTGCTCTTATCCGAGGGTTTCATGGAAAGATTGAGTGGCGCATCGAAGTCATCGATGGTGATGGGATTGGAGGCCGAGCCCACGGCTCCGCTGGGTGTCAATGCATTGGCATTTGCCTTCAGGCTGAGATTCACACCGCCAGAAGTTGGCGCCAGATCGGTGGTGAGGTCGTGGACCTCTTTTCCCTTGCTCGAAAGGTTATACGCGCCATTGGAGGTGATGGTGGGTGGCAGTTTGATCACCTCCACGCGATCACTGGAGCTCTGGTTGAGCAGGTTGCTACCCGATGCGGAGGAACTGGTGCTGGTGGTGGCCGCCGCCGTCGAGGAGCTGGCCTTGCTCACGCTCAACTGATCGAGCGGGTTGCCACCACTCATGCCCGGCAGCCCGACCAGTCCAGCCATTCCGGGGATACCGGCTGCTCCCAGCATCCCGTGCAGCTGCTGCTGCGCCTGCTGGTGTTGCTGCTGCGCCTGCTGATGCTGCTGCTGGGCAGCCGCAGCCATTGCTGCGTACTCCATTTCGAGTCTAGCCCGCTTCGCGGGACTGAGACCTGAAAAGGCAAGCAGAGAGGAAATGGCATTTGTGGTGCTGTCGAGCTCTTTTTGTGCTTGTGCTTGTTGCTGTTGTTGTTGTTGTTGGAGTAGGTGTTGTTCTGCTTGGTGTTGTTGTTGTTTCTGTGATTGTTGTTGTTGCTGTTGTTGTTGTGTGGTTTGCTGTTCTGTTTCGGATATAGTCTTTTTGCGACCGCGCGAGGTAGTACCAGGTATCTTGGGTCCCACAATCGAGGACGTGTACTTGATGATCTCCGTGTCCGGTGGTAAACGAACTCCCAACAAAGATGGGTGCTCACTGCCAGTGCTATTAATATAAAATAAATTTATTATAGAATCTAAAAGGAATTTTAGTACCACAACTTACCCCATCATGTAATCCTTGGCGCTGGACTTGCCCGATCCCGAATTGGAACTGTTACCGCCCATCTGCGACTGCTGCTGGGAGGAGTGATGTGGCGATGAGGTGACCGTGGCGGAGGGCGACACTCCGGTGCTGGCCGCAAATGCATTCATGGCCGCCTGCATGCTCTGCTGCGGCGTCATGCCAAGCGCTCCGAACTGCGACAGCGAGTTCAGAGCGTTCAGCGAGGGATTGTTCTTATCCCGATCCTTGCCGGATGACGAAGAGGAGGAGCCCAAGCCCGCATGCGGCGACATCAGCGGATTGCTGCTGGCCAAACTGGGATGCATTCCTCCCAAAGATGAATTGCTGGCACTCACACTGGTCGAAGCCTTGCTGCTGGACATCATTCCACCTCCGCTGCCCATTCCCAATCCATGGCCGTGCATCGAGGAGGAGGATGAGCCTCCTCCGCCGGACTTCTTGCCACCAGAACCACTCGATCCCGAGCCGGAGGCGGCGGCTGCCACGGCCTGCATGGCCAGCAGTTCCTTGTGCAGGGTCACCGGATCGTAGGCAGAGCCCGGATTGCTTGCCATGCTGCTGCTCGTCATGGTCGAGGGTTTTCCATAGGCACTAGCCGTGCTCTAAGGGATTTGAATTAAAAGTTTTAATTAGTATTTGATTAAGATTTCTTTATCTTATAGTGAATCTCACCTTGTAGCTCCCGTGACCTCCGCTATTGGTGGATATCGAACCGCTGCCCGTGCTCACCGACGGAATACTGGTGCCCGGCACTCCCACTCCGAATCCGTGCATGCTGGCCAATGCTGCTGCCGGATTATTTGCCGCAGCTGCTGCTGCCGCCGCTGCTGCTGCATTCAGACTGTTGGCCAGGCTCTGTTGCTGTTGTTGTTGCTGCTGGGCAGCTCGCTTCTCCTTGCGCGACTTGTTCGACTTGCTGCCCGAGGAACCCGATGAAGAGCCCCCTCCACCGTTGCCACTTCCTCCGCCATTGCCACCGCCTCCGCCTTGACCCAGTACTCCAGCTCCCCCAGCGCCAGCACCTGCTCCGCCAGCACCACCGCCCATTCCCATGCCAGCTGGGCCAAAGGCGGCCGCCAAGTCGGGATGCGGAAAGGGCGAGAGACCCGAGGCCTGCAGGCGACTGAAGTAATCCTGGGCAGCTAGTTGGGCCATCGACCACCAGCCTGGAAATCGATAAAGGAGCAGGTTAGAAGTGATTTCTTAATATGGTTTATGAGTTGCTTTAATCGTTTATTTACTGGTAATTAGCTTATGAGGAGGAATATCTACTTGAACTAGTGGAAAGTCTTTACTTGGTAGTTAAACATTAATTGCATTGCTTAACAAATTTATATTAAGAGGGAAATTTCTTTTTAGTACATTAATATTAGGAGGGGAGTTGTTATTTTCTATTTTTAAGAGTGGTTATTGTATTACAATAAACTAAGACCTATTAAGAAATGAAACAAAAATTGTGCTTGACTATTTTTCACTGCCCTGCTCAGGGTAAAGCTTTTCGGGCAGTGTAAAGCGAATAGCAAACTACTGAAAGTAATAATCTAGGAGGGTTTTCTTCAAATGCTTTGCACGTGTTAAACAAGACATTTGCTGTTTAAACTCCTTACGAATTACAGGAAATAGTTATCAGATAGCAAGTTTTTTTTTTAACCAAGCGAGAATCGAACTCGCGTGGATTTTGTATGATGATTCAGAGGGCAAACATCGCTTTAACGCTTTGCGCCAAAGCAGACGCTAAATTCGTACCGCCGAAACTTTTTTCTTGGGGAAGCGCTTACTAAAATACGGAATGTGCCGACATTTTACTCACTTGCTGGATGCAAACCGGCCAAACTGGCGGCCTGGGAGGCGGCCACCGCCATCGTGTTCTGGTGATGATGGGCTCCCGCCGCCGCCGCCGCTGCAGCGGCCATGGAATAACGGTCATTGGCAGAAGCGCCCGCGGCCTGTGGCAGTAAACCCAATCCGGCAGCTGCGGCGGCATTGAACTGCGAGTTGAACAGCGGATTCGAAGCAGCTGCAGCCGCCGCTCCAGTGGGATCACGTCCCCAGTAAGCTGAAAGATATGAGATAATATATTAAATAAAGATCATAATTTAAGGTGTTTAAGTTAGTTATAACTTACCGAACAGGGAAGCCGCATCTAAAAGGCCGGTGGGGTCATGTGGCCCCCCGGCTCCAGCACCCCCTCCTGCATTCGAGTTTTTGTTTGAGTTTTTGCCATCGCTGCCATCGCCGGCATTTTTGTTCATGTTCAAAATCCCCTAGTGTTTACGACCAACTACTATTGTGCGTAACATGCGTTAAAAGTCTGCAAAAAAGTTAGTTTTATATTAAATTAGCACTCGTGATCTCAAACATTTTCCATTGTAATCACAACATTTGTAATCCATAAGATACAATTCATCAATCGTTTTTGATTTTCAAATTTTTTCTCTCTCCGCTCTTACTCCACTCTCTGTGTTGGCAATGCCGCAACGCTTGGGCGAAACTCGAGCACAAAGCAGAATCGGCCGAAATATGGAAAGCAAAACAAAACTAAAAAAAACTACACGCCAGCGAGAGACAAACACACGCACAAAACGGAAGCAGAAGCTGCTCTCTTTTACCAATACACCTGCACTTCGGCGGCAGAGCGGCAAATTCATCGCGCAGTAAAATCGGTGGCGAATTCAAAATTTACGCACAAATTTGCAGTTTGTTAAACAATAAATATAAAAAAATTCCCTCTCGAAGGAAATCTTGAACCTTACAAGTCATGCGCAAGTTGTAGCACTGCCCCATATAAAAAAGCGAAATAATTAAAAAGAAAATTCAAGACACCCGCACTCACACAGACTGCAGGCGGCGACTGCGAAAACCGATGCATACACAAGACAAAAAAAAAAAAAAAAAAACGAGAAAAAATTTGATTCACGGTAAAGCGTTTTTTTAAGGAGGGGGGTTTTTGTAGCACTTTAGCAAATTCATTCATGAAATTTGTAATGTTCCTCTCCTCTTTTTTCGCTTTTTGAAAATTTAACAGACAGCATGTCTGCTGTTTTTGGCTGTTAATTACTTTGTTTTTATGACTTGTACTTCGGCAGCAGTTTACGCATTTTTTTACACTGGCTATTGCATTTTGCGCGATTTAAATGTACAATTAACAAAAATATTTACAAGCGCCGCTCGACGACGCGTCCGTCTGTGTTTGTGATTTCGCGGCGAATGTGGAAAGAGTGCGGCGGTGGACCAGTGGAAATGAAACAACCAAGGGAGAGCGCGGGCGGGAGAGAGCCGCCTCTTTTTGTTGTGGCCACGCACAGTGGTTGATAATTGCACTTTTCTTTTAGTCATTACTTATTTTTATTAGTTTTAGATGTATTAATCACTTTAATGATCCAACGTTTAGCCCGCTAAGGTGGAGCCCACTATGGCTCGCTTATAACTGTAATTGCGCACTCTTTTTTCCTGCTTTCTTTCGGTCTTATTTTTTTTGTTGTTACGCATCGGCAGGCGACAGATGTGCGCTCTTATCAGGGGAGGGGGCGCTAGTCAGAAAAAGAGAACGCGAGAGAGGGGGGAGTCTGCGAAAGAGCGCTGGCAATTTATAACAAGCAAGAAATAAAACAAACGGACAGGGCGACTTGGTACAGTGAAGCTTCCTTTATTTTGATCCTAAGCAGAAAACGTACTAGGTTTAATCAAGTAGTATTGAATTTTACTATGCTATCGATTTAATTTAGCGTACAGCAAGATTTTAAAAACAAAGTCGGTTTTAGCACAATTGACACTGTAAAACTTTGCCTTTTGTCCTCTTCTTCAACTCGGGCTCTGCGTTTGGGTTCACCCAAACCGCAAGTGGGGGTTGGGGAACTGAAAAGGTGGAGCGGGAGGGGAAGACAAGAGGGTGTAAGCAATATGATTCGGGCATTTGTCTTTGACACTGCCACACTTCGCTGCCTCTGCTTCTGCCTGCGTCGCGGGGGTGGCAGCGCAGTCGACGTCAACGCCGGCGATTGGTAAGGTGTGTGCGAGTTCTTGTTTCTATTTCTTTTTGCACTGTGTGTATTTGAGCCTCACCCCTCTCACACCCTCTCACACCACCTCTCTTTTTTCACATCAATATTTGTGAGTGACAGCAGCGAGCAAATGTGAAATTCTTCTCATATTGTGCTGGCGTCACTCCACCACCCACCCGCTGCCCTGCCCCCTCTGATATACCCACCATTGTTGTTTGCTCTTGATTATCTTCTCTCTCTAGCTCAATTGGCCGACTGTCTGTCCATCGCTCATGAGTTGCCTTTATTTCTTTTTTATTTGTTGTATTTTTCCCCCTGTCTTCTCGTTTGCGTTTTTTTTTTATATATGTATGTATGTACATACGTATGTCAGTGTTCGACTTCGTGTTATATCTTTTACCCACACAAATGCAGATAGCGCCGCTGATTCGTTTGATTTGTCATTAAAAAAGGTTTACGGCTGTATTTCCTTTAGTCAATAAGCTTAAAAAGTAATAAACGGCTCGAAAAACAAATGGAATCGATGTTCTATAACTCAAATTGCTCCAAAAAGTTCGATTTCGGGTGTGTTTATTGGTTTTATTCATATTCATTTGCAAGTTTTTCTGGATTAAAGTAAATAATAAATATTGGGTGATCAGAAACATTTGGTGCAATCTGCGATTTAGAATATTTTGGGGACTTTACATTTTTCTTAGTGGTTCAGTTCTTCTAGGTTTTACCTTTCTGACGTTAGTTCTGTAGATTCTTCTACTTCTGGTTTTATGCTTTTTTCCCTATTGTTGTTGGGGTTTTTTAGCCTGTTCCAGTGTGGGAATGTGCACGAAAGAGATGGAAAGAATGTGAGTGCTTCTGACTCTTCGTCGTTTTTTCTTCTTGTGGAGTAAGTAAGGTTATTGACTCAAAAAGCCATACCCCAGCCACTTTTTTTAAAGCGTCCAACAAGCCTGCAGTCTGCGTCATCGTCTGGCGCGATCTTCAGTCTCGTTTCCCGTTCCCCTGTGCTCTGTCCCTCTGTCTGCTTAATGCTTCTGCAACGCCTTCAGATCGAGTGCAGCAACAACAAGAATGCAACGACTTTAGCCTCAAAGCAACAAGTTAAACTCTTCTTCCTTTTATCAATCAATTACTGCGGAGGGTTTAAGTTTTCCCTTAATATTAAAATTGTATATCACATGTTTAAATGAGCTTACAAAAATGTATTCAACTTTTACAAACACTTTTAAGAAATCAAAAAATTGACTCTTAAATTTCCCTTTAATAATGTCTAGGCCTAGAGTGCATTGCATCTCTTTCTAACAACCTCATACAGACACCCTAATCTCGTTTGTTATCTTTCCCCTTTCATTTTCATCATTTTCACCGACATTCTGCCTTAAACGTCTTTAAAGTCTTTGCAGGTAAAATGTTTTTTGCCACTTGAAATTGGGCAATTTAGTCGAAACGATAAAAAATATTCATAATCGATTAATTGCATCAAACGGTCCAATTAAAGGATTTACCGCAGAATTTATTTAATCCAGGTATTTTCTCAACTTTAAAATAGTTTGAATTGTGTATAAAATAAACCTATTAAACCTTACAAAATGTTTACCTTACAGGCATTAAATGAAGAGGAATACAGCTGGCGAAGGTGATAAAAGCCAGTACTTGGTAAATAAATAAAAGCAAATTACAGACAATGAATTAAATCAAGTGCTATTTCCTTTGAGTGCTGCAAATTTCAAACTCCATGTTTACAAATTTCAGCACTTGCCGAAATAATTACCTAAATTTAATCAAGCTATCACTTATGATGAACATAACCAGTCGAATACCAGTCGAATTAAGTGTAAAACACAATAATTTAGTGTTAGGCGGTTCAATATCTTTATAACTGGAGCTATTTCTTCTGAAGCTAAATAATTTAACACTGTTGTGTTTTGGCATAGTAATTATTGCCTTTGTGTGAAGGCTGTAAATTATATTTGACATGAAAAACGCACTGGAAATAAACGAAAAGCCTGCGCCGATTCTGTTATTCTTGTTTTGCACTTCTCTGCCTGGAATACATTACCATGAAGGATATATTGCCAACCAGTTTCGGGTGGAATACGGCGTGGGTGGTGGAAAATTTTGGGAGGTAGAATTGGGAAGTGTTGGGTATCTCGCCTGGGCAAGAAAACTGTGCAAAAAAAAGAAGGAAAAAAGGACACACATAAAATGTAAACTCTGAACCGAAACGGGGCGTGTAACGAACAGGCGGACAATACGGAGGGCGGGGAAGCGGGTGGAAGGAGGAGGAGGTGGAGGAGAACAAGAGGAAAGGAAAGGCGGAGAAAATCGTGGCTTGTCGCACACAGGACGAACAGGCCAACAAAACGAACAGGAAACGAGCGTGCAAGGACACACAACTTTTGGCGTGTGTGGGTGGCGGTGGCGGTGGTGCTGCAAAATCGGGGGAGTTGTGCGGGTGAGTGGTGCAAAAAAGGGGGCGTGGCAGCAGGGGTTAGCCGGAGTGAAGTGGCAGTAAAACGAACCGAATGAGAATCGAGAATTGCGAATGGCAAGAAGAAGAAGAGCGGGGCATCAGCAGAACAGCAAAACTAAAATTGAAAATGGCAACGCAAGGGGGAAAAGAGTAGTTGTAGGTAAAGAAGAAGAAGGGCAGAAGAGTCAGCAACAACAACAACAACCAAATAAAGACCAAGTCAGCGCAGACGTCGACGCAGGCAGCGACAGAAGCAGGAGCAGCGAAACAGAACTAGTATTAACAACAACTGCAGCAACAACAAGAGGGAAGAAGAAAAACAACAACAACAACAACATCAGCAATGGGAGCAAACAAATGAATTTATGCAGCGAGGCTAGAACTACAACAACAATGACAACCGCAGCCAGTTGTTTCACAGTCCAGATTCCCTAAGTGAAACCAGCAAGTTCAGATCACTTGTAAAAAAAATTTAAGTTAAATTTGCTTAAATAACTAAAATATCTATGAATTCTTCCAGTTTAAAAAATATATCCCTTCACAGATTACAGCATTAACATGAAAATATAAAATCAGTTTAAGCCAAGTGGTAATATGGAAATCGAAAAGAGGCTCAAGAAGGTTTTTGTTGAGGCCATAATGTAAATATGATTAAATAAAGTTGAAAATTATGTTTGGTTTATGGAAGTTCCACTGCTTGGTAAGATAAACTATGACTTAGCCAGGTCGGACTGTAGTTGGTATTTATGTAACGATGTTGGTGTGGTTGATGTTGTAACTGCTGCAGGATTGCAGGAGTAAGAGGAATGCATGGGACATGGGATGCGGTGGAACAGGGAA